TATTATTATTATTATTATTATTATTATTATTATTGTTATTATTATTATTATTATTATTACTATCATTTTGGTCAGTTGCAGTAATAGCAGTAACAGATTGATCGGATTCAGGACGTGGTAAATCAAATATTAATTTAAGTATATCCATTTGACGAGTTTGAACAGCTACATCATAAGAAAAAAGTTTCTCAGCGGCCTGTCTTTGTGTTCTATGAGAAGTAGCAAGTTTTGTATATTCTGGGATTAATTTATTTTTCAATCCAATCCAAGCGCGTTCGGTAAAAGTATGTGTGGATGATGACATTATGGCTTTATTATAAACCATACATTGTTCTACTATAGGCATTTTAAATTTTAATAAACCATAATCATTTCTCTCTTTTTTTATCATGGTTTCAATAGTAGAAGCGCGTTCTTCGCGTTTTTTTTCATTCTCCATAGCTTTCACCCAATATTCATTCTCATGCTCGATCTCGCGTTGGGCAACATCTTCCATTCTTTGTCGTCCTTCCTTTCGTTTGTTGAGAAGCCAACTTTTTCTTTCATCCAAATCAAGTTTAATGTATTCATTATAGACACGATAAACATCCTCGCGCCAATATAGATTTGCAGGACGATGTTTTGGACTTCGATCCCAACCCCATTTATAAAATCCGGTGGTATAAGTCAATCCACATAAAATATCATCAGGAATTGAAAATTTTGATAACAAATCACGCCGAATTTGATCTAATCTAAAGAAATTGAAGAAATTGAAAAAAATATATATATATATATTTTTTTTTAAAAAAAAAAAAAAAAAAAATTAATTAAATTACTATTTAAAAAACTACTAACACAATAATACACAATTCTATACATTGGATAAAATCTTTACCTCATTGTTCTCTCATCTAAACAAGATTTACAACAACGAACACGAAAAGCCCAATAAATTCTTCGTATTCGCGATTTATTACAAAATTGACAACCACGCTCAGAGAGGAGTTTTACATATAGACGTTCATCCATATTATCAGGAGGAGGCATTTTAGCATACAATAAAAATTGAGATCGAGAATTGCGCCAAATTTCTTGAGTTGTTTTGGAATAAGTTGAACATAAGTAGGCATGAAACTTTTTACAAACTTGAGCAAGAGAGAGAAGATCTGAAGGAGGAAGATCTTGGCAAATATTAATGAAAATTTCGGGTGGAATTTTAGTAGCAACACAAGGGCCAGCCATTATGATCATCTTTGGGAGAGAATTGGAGAAAATTGGACGTGAAAGTTGAAATTTTCAAAGATAAAAACTTATCAAAAGAAAATTAGGCTACTTATAAATTTATAGATTACTAGATTTATCACTCGCAGGAATTTTTTTTTTTTTTTGTTTCATGAGAAAAAAATGGAGTCCAAGCCTCTTTCTAACCTCGTGACTTTATTACTATCGTTTGATTGGATTACGTACAATAGGAATATTGTATATAAATATATCTTATGCGCCTGCGAACAATGACCTTTATTGTTTCCCACGTTTGAAAATCAAAACCAAAGTGATGAAAACTAAAAATTTAAAACGATAATTAAAACTCTGTATTAACACTGTGACTCCTAAAATTTATATTATTAATTTATTGAATCTATTGTGTATATGCTTTTTAAAAAAGCAAAAACAAACTTTGTGTAATATTTTTATGCATTTACATACATTACATAATAAATGTTGAGTTTAAAAAAAAAAAAGTATCGGGGTTAACAGATAATTTTTTCGAAACTTTGTTAACTTGTGTTATATAAATCGTAAAACTTTTAGAGCACACAAACAAACAAATTTATGATCGAAAATGACATTTAATATTGTCAAACTTTGATATTGTTGAAATATTTTGAAATCGAACGATTTTTATTACACGTGCATCTTTTTTGTTTAAAACGCGTTTCGATTAACATTGAAAATTTCCTACAACTTTTTTATGTATCTCAAACATTCTTTAGTTTTTCACGTGAAATGATGTAAATATTTAATATAGTATCTTTATTGAGACATATTTACTCTAAATTTAGTAAAATACTTTTTCTCTCTGTACACAATACCAGAAAAACCTATTGTTGAATATTATCAAAAATGTAGCGAGATTCATTCACAAAATCATAAATGGAGATTCATTGCTCTGTGCTTTCGATATCGATATTCTCATCACCCCACAATATATTTATCAATGAGATATGGCGTCCCTTTATATTTTTATTAAATATTTTTACAACTTGTCCATTTTCGCTAATAATTACATCAAAACAGGATTTATTCTGATGATAAGAAATTTATCTACTGTATAAAAATATATATATATATATATTATATATTATTTTAAAATTTTATCTTTTTCTAACTTTATTAATTTTATTATTACACAGTATTATCTATTGTTTAATTTACCAAATTTATTTATTTATTGTGGGGTACAAACGTGAGGTTGAGTTGAGCATGAGGTAATATACAATAAATCAATTAAAGATGCATTTCAATTATCACAATTCTATGCTATCTTGTTATATCTTTATTATATTTACTTTATATAATTAAAATTTATCATACTATATTACTGATACCATATTACAGTATTACTATAAAACTTATAAACTTCTGTAATTCATTGACTAAAGTATTCACAATGAAATTTTTAAAAAATCACGTGTATTATACATTCTATTTTTAGTCATTCGGAATAGTTATTACAATTCATTTAAGTATTATTATTTATGTCGATAATCAATTAATTATCAGAAATTTTACTAATAATTATATTTAAAATAAAAGTTCTGTAAATTGTAGTCGCTTTGGCGGAGTGGTTAACGCGGTGGCCTGCTAAGCCATTTCCTTCTGGGAGCGCAGGTTCGAATCCTGCAGGCGACGACTGATAATATTCTTTTGTTTTTTTCTTTAATCTAAGTCATGTGATATAGTCTATTTCATACTTTATATAATACAATAATAATATCAATACTAGCAGATATACATTCGATTATCATTATCACTAAAATTTTTTTAAAACATGGCATTCCGTCATTTTTATTTTAAAACATCTCGAACATTCAATAAGAAAACTTTATTAAATCATCATATAAAACCATCTTTACTTTTAACAAATTTAATTGTTCAAAAAAGAACTGGAACCGCTAAACCAAAAAGTGATATATATATATCTGACTCTAATTATTCAAATATACATACATATATATATTGCTAATTGAGTCATATATCGTTTTAGTAAAAAAATCGTCTACCAATGTTCAAAAAAATAAAGGTTTTCAAAAGAAAAACTTAAAGAAAACTGCCAGTGAGGTTTGTTCTTATATAACTATTAAATTTTTTTTATATTCCGAGTTCTTTGTATTTATTGATTTTTAATTAAATTAGGATGCTGAAGCGACTTTATCTACAAGTTTTGTAAAGAATAAAGAACTTTACAAACCTTCTCCTGTTGTAGCTTTGGAAGAAATGTTACCGGTAAAATTATCTTTTTAAATTAGTATAATATTAAACGAATATGCATAATTAATTAATTAATTAATTAATTGAAAACAATAGGAAGTTTATACTGAAGAAAATATTGGTAAAATTTATCGATTTCCTCCGGAAATCTTACAAAAAATAGAGATTTTTAAACTTCCTCCTATTTTAGAGAAAGAAGTTAGTTGATATTTACTTATCATTTCATACATTTAATACATTTCATACTTAAGTTAACAACTAATTTTCTTTATCGTCCTAGTTCTTTCCATTGCCTTATCCTTCCTTAGCAATCCGTCAATCATCAATTCAATTAATTAAGCTAATCGAAAATGCTTCACAAAAGTCTAGTGTAGAAAGCAGGATTATCTTATGTAATTGTGATACATATTATTCTAATCTGGTTTCATCAACTATGTTAATTATTATTATTATTATTATTTTGTTAGCTGGGGAAATGGGCGTAGGCAAAAGTGCGTTGTTACTTCAAGCAATTAATTATTCATTGTGCAAATCTTGGATCGTGATATATGTTCCATTCGGTATAACATTCTTTGATTATTTTTTTATTATGCATTTTGATAATACATATTGATTTTCTTTTTTTTTCTTTAATTCATTAGCTATCAAATTCGTAAACAGTTCTTATCCATATATTAAAAATAAAATAACAAATGAATTTGTTCAACCTACTTTATCATCCGAATTATTAAAACAAATAAAAGTCGTTAATGCCAATTATTTACAAAATGTAGGTGCATTTTATTGTATTAATATTATTTTCAAATTAATTTTATTTTGTAACTGTATTAATATTATTTTCAAATTAATTTTATTTTATACATATACAATATCATTTTTTAGATAACGTTGACAAGAGATTACAAAATAAATAAATATACTATAAAAAATAATTCACCAGTAATAGAACTTATGGACATTGGAATCAAAGATAACAGTTGTGCTCCACAAGTATTTGAAATTTTCTTGGAAGAAATTGGAAAGAATGTAAAGTAAATACTTTTAAGAATATATTCATTAAAATATTATAATTCCATTTTAATTTACCCCCCCTCAAATCCTTCTA